GCTGATCTTCTGAGAATGAAACATAAAGCACATCAAGAGCTCTACGGAGGTGATGTTTGTGATGTGGACTGTACCACGTCATACTTTAACCCAGGAAACTGTCACGTGCACTTTCACTAGCAAACTAAACACCAAAGATCGCTCTCGAGGCAAAGCGTTCTTCTACTGAGAATAAAAGTGTGCACACAGCCATTTAGATCCACGTGGTAACTAATGTCACATTAATGTTGCTCTGACCAGCCCCCCCCCCCCCCCCCCCGACCCGTGCAGCTTCTGATTGGTAACGGTTCAGGAGAGACTGCCATTTTACACAGTGACTGCTAGCTGGACCTCCAGTGACACACCACAAGTTATTTACCTGTGTAGCAGCCAGCTTGTTTCCAACAGTACGGCATGATTCACGCTGTATCGTGAGCAAACATCCACAAAGACACTTTGTCTTAAGCACAAGTCAAATTAACAGTGGCGTAAACAAACGGGTAAGTTGGTCATTTGAAGTTCTCCAACGGTGTTGTAGCTAGCTAACGTTACCGTAACACACCCACGGTGCTGTGGCTGCTCTCACGAGCGCTCCTCGCCGGCCTGCTCGGTTAGCTAGCAGCGGTGTCTGACCGGGCTTTGATGTACCGACTACTCTTTGGGCTGAACGGCACTTTTATCGCGTGAATGTGTTTATGAAATGACGTCATGGTAGAGTTGATATGGCTTGCACAAGATGCGTTCAGCTGTGACGTAACCTCATGTTTCTGGTGCGGGGCATTGCTACGCGTGCGAAAGGTTTGTAGTCAACCCTATATATACGTATACGTATATATGTATATATACATACGAAAAGAGAAATGTCACCGAACGCGGCAGTCCCCGCTGTCACTCCTTCCACAGTCCCACACTAAAGTTTAGAGAGAAGTATAGCGAAGTGTATGTGTATCTAATGTTAACCGAGCACTCAATAATCTCCTTAAACATGTCGGTGGGATTATCTGACAACCACAACGCATGAAGTCTTTGATTTCTATGAGATGGTCAAATTCCATTAGGATCATATGTCTCGTGTCTGACAGCACAGCAACAGTGAGGACTCAAAAGTAGAACTATGTCTACATTAAGTTGTCTTCATTTTTAAATGCTGCTTTAGTGTGAAAATGTTTAGCATCCCCACTAGTGTCTCTGGATAGTTTGTCCACAGCGAACACCTGAACAACATGGACACAGCCTTCATTTCAAATGGTAAACGATGCATCACTGCCAACATCTGGCCTCACTGACCGAAGCGCTATTTTATTGTCACCCCGTTGTCTGACATCAGCACAGACCGATGAATGACAGCAGCTGTGCCTCAGAGTGCAGCTGTCACACCTCTGTTCGGTCTCCTCTGGCTCTATGAGCTCACTTATATGTTGAGTTTAATACTGCAAACATTCACAGTAGCTTTCTATCTGGAGACAACTGAACGAGTCCTGAAGTTTATTCATCCCGACACATAACTGCTACCTGTTAACCAGCAGTCAGTCCCAGGCGGCTGTGTTATGGTGATGCAATCATGATTCCATCATTTAGACATCGTCTGTCAAAATCAGTATTAGCTCAGTTTAACAACGGCTCTGTTGTGTATTCAGCTGCATTGACATTTGAATTCACTACCCAGTACACACTGAACCACCAAGCCCGAACTAGTTGATCCGGACACAAGGCTGAAACAGAGAGAACATTTACAACAGCAGAACTTAATCTCATCTGAGAAACACAGAACAACTATCAGCTTTGTTTCCCTTGAGTTTTTTTTATCCTGCATGGACTGGTAGTAGTCTCTCACGCAGAGACTCTTGGTGGACTGGGTATGAGAGTACTGAGTAGAGTTAGTAGAGTCACTTCAACATTGACTCTATTGAGCAGACTCCCCTTTTAGCAGCGTCTGTCATGGTCAGCTGTGATTCTCTTATTATTGTCTCACTACACATACAGTGTATGTCTGCTATCACTTTGTGAAGCCCCTCCTGCTCTTCATAGTCTCTGTGGTACAACAGATGACTGGATGATATAATCAATAGGCTTGTGCCAGCTGATGATCATAAAGACATTTGACTATAAAATATTGCCAATTCCAAATGTCCCAACCAATTTTAAAAGGGTGTGTTATTTGTGACAGTGGAGGGGCTCATTATGTAGGGCTACCTGTGCTGTAGTACATTGTGCTAAACCCTGAACAGGAGTGTAGGAGTGAAACCATTGTGGTTTTGGCCCCGCTGCTCTCAAACATGGTGGGTCAGTGTGGCTACCTCCTGCTGTGAGCCTGCAGTGTAAACACACGTGGTGGTGGCTTGATATGCTGTTATCCATCTCTCCACCAGTTTCAAACTTTATAACATGTCTAAGAATTTACATGCAATTCGTGTTTATTTACTGTTAGATTCTTTAAGGTGATCAAACAGAACTAATGGACCAATAAAAGGGTATCAGTCATGCAGGACAAAGTGTTTTAGTTAGAGGAGAACATTTTGTTGTTCAACCTATTGTTTGAATCAGAGTAAGTGCATTATTTAGGCCTGTTGAACACCACAGACTGCAGCTGTATTTTGGGGAGAGTTGACTAGTCCTGGCACAAAGCCTGAAGCTACACCCTTAATAACAGAGGTTCCTATCATAAATTTAGACATCTTTGTCAGAAATCTAAAATGTCATTAAAATACATCCCTGAGTGAGGTAAATAAAGAATGAAGAACACAGACATCGCTGCGTATCAGTCCTTCAGCATGTCGTCCTCCCTGCTTTGTCTCAGCAAGCAGCTAAGTTTACAAGAATTTGACCGATTTTCTAATACTAATGCAAACTAAGCGAAACAGTGAGACTACATACAGACAGCTTCTGTTTGAACGTGTTTGTAACACTTTGCTAGCGGGCTGTGCCTGTATAAAACATTGCTGCAGTAGAGGAGGATGGAGCAGATTGAACAATGGCTTTTCTATATTTCTACGTTTATTCTTGTTGAATAGGTGTATTGATGAAGATGGCAGAATGAACAGGTGGGTAGAGCCAGAGGTGATTGTCCACTAGTTCACCCATCTCAGATAGCATTGTTCAGACATACAGAGAAATCAAAATGTTAAAAGTGGTTACCAAATACATTTGTTTTGGTTGTATACCAGCCCGTCCCAGTAAAGTATGTGTGGGAAACACTGGATTATATCCATATATTTTCATGTTTTATACTGAGAAATAGCACCGCTAACAAAGTATTACTAACTCTATGAAGATGCATTGGATGTCCTGTGCCTGAAATGTTTGTATCAGCAGTAACTTAAGACAGTTCTGATACATCTGAAAGCGCTCCGTTAACATTAAGATAAAGCTCATCTGGAAGTGCGAATAAGAACGTAACAGTGAAACTAATCTCCAAACTGCAGAGACTTTGAAGCTACAAAAGAATTTAGTATTGAACATCTATCGACTTAAAGCTGAGCTTTCTCTCCAAAGACAGCCTATGGAAGCGAGACCATCATAGGTTAGCCCTGGTTGGCCCTTGTTGGCCCTTGTTGGCCCTGGTTAGCCCTGCTTCTAAGCAAGAAGACCACAGCCTACTCCCAGTAGTGAAACCGCATGTCATCATGGCTTTGCTTGGCATGGAAAGACCTTTTAAGTTGAACTTCCATTGTGATATAGGTCCCTGTTAGGACCAGTCTTAAGAATAGGCTGTAAGTTAGTTGCACCAACCAAAATGAAGCCTAGTCTTAACTACGCCGATCTTAGCTATGCTGAATAGCCACGCAACTATGGCTATGGCCTAGCAGCGTGTGTTGCTAGGATACATCGTTAACAATCGAATCGGTAGCTAATCAGTTATCATTTGTGGTGACGTTATTCTGGAGGATCAGAGAAAAAGAAATGAATAGAGCTGTAACAGTTCAACCAGCCACAAGGACACCATGTAGTGGCTCTTCTGATCAGGCTGAATATCTCACTATCCTATTGTCCACTCAAACTCTACCGCCTCCAGTAAAGTGCAGGCTGGATCTGCTTCATCATGAACATTCAGAGCAGCAGTCTGATAGGTGCTAGTGAGCCATGCTAGTCCACGAGCACCTTTGGATTGTAAAAGATACAAGCCCACTCAAATTTCAAATCAAATTGTGCTTAATATTTGATCATCGCTGTTAATATTTTTCAATAATTCCATGACTGAAAAATATTGACACTCTATTTTAATATTAAGTTGACATGGGCTTTAGCTTTTATGTATAACTTGTCTGCAGTTAATGGCTCTCCATGGTGGCTACAAACACTCTGCCTTCTCCAGCCAACTCACCCGGCACCTCTTCACCGGCCGCGTCTTATTAATAACCGTCAGCTTCAAGAGGTTTCACGTCAGTCAGATGCAGAGAGACAACACGTTTCTTTGAGGAAATAATTACAGAGTAACATAAAAGTGACATTACACCTGCTCCTGACTAGTTGAAAGATGTACACCCGTCTCAGCAGGAAGAAGGCGTAGAGGCAGGACCTACTTAGCTTTAGACCAGGTGTAAGCCTCGTTGGTTTAGCCAGACCCTGGTCTTTGTGGTTATTCTTTATCAGTCTTGGATGCCACTGCTAGTTCTCGTTTTTGACGGACAAGGTTACAAGGTTTTTATGTGTCACTGTACGACAGGGTACAACATTTACATTGTAGTCCCAATTTGCTACATAGGAGAGAAAACCAAACACACCTGTATCATAGATGGAGGGTGGAGTTATGACACGTAACCACCCGTCTGGGTTCCACTTTAGCTGCATTTGTTGAGTGTTATATGTGTAAATATTTGTTGTGTATTCATTGGTAATTGTTTTGTGTGTGTCGTTGTGGTGTGTTGTTTCCTGTGTCTGTGTGTCTCACTAGTAGTAGTGCAAGGCCCTGGATGGATAGCCTGGACCCTGAAACCCTGTATGTCTCTCCAGAGCAGACTGGACCGCCCACGCTACCGCTCTCTACCTCGGAGGTCTCCAACTTGGCATTAGTGGGGTAAGAAGTTCTGATAGCAGTTTGGGGGACAGCAGGGGGTTCTAGAGAATCTGTCAACACCTAGCGCCCACGGCTCACACCATGCAGCCACGTATCTCTCTCACACATAGAAAACTAGGAACAAAAGCACGCATACCTACAACATGAGTCAACATGTATGTGACTTCAACGGTATTTATACATAATGAGGCAAAGTCACTTCCTGTTGGTAGCATGGTCCAATAACTTGCTCCATGTTTTTAAAACCCATCATGAGGTCCAAGACTCTGTCATCAACTCATCTGCTCTATTAAGAATTAGTTGTAGTGATTGTTATAGTGGAAACCACAATACCTGAACATCCCTGAAGCCTGGCCAGCCCGCACCATAGTTTGTGATGTGTTTTATCACAGCCTCTTAGTCAGCATCACAGTAAGCACCGCTATTACACAACATGCTATTTTGTCCCATGAATCTTTTGCACAGGCAACGTGAAGACGCTCCAGTCGGCCTTTGGTGTGTCTCTGCCTTAATAGACTATTGACTCCAGTGACTGTGACAGCTGCTGGCTAGCTAGATTTTATGGAGGGCAGGCACGCGTTCACCAAGTGCACTGTTGGTATTTCTCATATTATCACAGCAGTGTCGTCATATGACATCTCCCACTACCATTCCTCTACTGCCAGTTTTAGGAATTCTGTAACACTATCTCTGGTATGCGATAAACACAGTTTTAGCTCACCATCTCCAAGTTTCATCACATAGCGTGTGCTGTAATGGTGACATAGCTGTCAATAACACAGGAGGTCCACCCATGGATGTTGGATTTGGGTGAAATGTAGTAAACTGCTTTCTAGAAAACCTCATTTCTGTGAAGAGATTTTGTTCTACACCTCTAGAAAGATGTTTGTGTTATTTCACAGACTTGTGTCTGGCATTAGAGATATGCTTCGCTCAGATGATTAAGTGCTGTCATAATACAAAAATTAATAGTCAAATAGATTTAAAAACCATGTGCGGCAGTAAATGGAGATGTTGAGTCCAGTTAACGACTACCTGAAGGCAGGTTGGCAGCTTTATGCTCCACACATCACTGGAGTTTATCACATTTCATAGGTGTGGGTGTGTTTGTGTGTGCACTGTGGGGTGTACAAAGACCAAAGCCCGGCTCACTTCTGTTTTTACACACACAAATCACACACAAACCAGTGCAGCCTTTAGGACAACAGGGTAAACACAGCCCCCCTCGGGCCGGAACCTAATTGTTAGCCCCTGGAGTGGCTAGTCCGGGGATTAGCTACTGGCTGGTGAGTACTATTCACTCCCTCTGTCATTCCCTCTGCCCACTGGGCCTTATCACCATCAATCTGACACCATGTTTATCTGACGCTGCAGCCAGATCTGCTGGCCTAGGAGAAATGTTCACAAAGGCCGTGGATCATCAGCACTTTGATTGTGGGACCCCGAATGGCCATTACTTTCTCTGGCCCCAGTGATCCCAGCAGCCCCCATGCAGTGGTTAGTCCCAGAACCTGGAAAGCCAACCTGAAGGCCTGTCTGTCTGTCATTTGTGCTCTTCTTCTATCTCAAACGAAGGCGGTTCCTCAGCCAGATTTTGTGTGTTGTATTTGTGTTCCAGTGTACGGCGTCTCCATGTGCTTTGGTTTGTTGCGACAAACTGTTTTTCTCTGTGTCGGCTGCCTTATACCCTTCACCAGGAACTTACCACCGAGTGTGTGATCTGGAGATTACCACCACGCTTTGATCACTGTGTCTATTAAGCTTCACTGTCGTGTGTGTTCGAAGAAGAAGAAAGAAAAAAGAAACAGATTCATCATGGCTTCTTTTAAGTTGGATTTTCTCCCCGAGATGATGGTGGACCATTGCTCTCTGAATTCTAGTCCTGTGTAAGTAACTCGCTTTGACCAGCTTTGTAAGTGCGATCTGTTTCCTACGGTTGTTCTGTGTCTCTGGAATGGACCGGTCTGTGTTAAGGTCTTTATGTATATGAATTGTAATAACCATGAGCAGCTGTGTTGTGGTGAGTCAGGGTGATAATGGGCCTCCTGTAGTTCATCCACACAGCACTCTAGTGTAGTAAGAGGAGTTGCGGTACCTTCCTATCTGCCTTTCTTTAAGGTATTGTTTGAGACTGATTCTGATTCAAATTCAGGTAGTAGGTAAAGAAACAAAGAAGACAGAGTTTTGTGCTTAATGGGCTGCTCTAACAAACTCAAACTAACAATCAATACCTCTCCCCCTTTAGTCACAATAACTGCATTATCACTATTTTTCTTTCATTAAACAGACTTTTGATAACATTTCCCCTGAAAGCTCAAATTGTCATCCCTGGCGTAATGTCACGGTGCATTCAAGGACTTTGATCTCAGTTGTTGTGATGTGTGGTTTTGACTGGTCCCCTGGCACAACTCACTGTTAGGCCTGTGTTTGAGTGTTTGTTGTAATTTCATTAGTTTTGAATATCTGTCCCTGTTGCTGAAGTTTGTGCTGACATATCATAAGTACATTCAGAAGATGAGCTACATCTTAAATGCATGAAATGTCCCATCACATTTACACTAGAGCCTAATGGGTTTTTAAGGCAGATACTGATATGGATGTTTGAGGGTTTAACATCAAATCTGATAGTGATATACATCAGCTGATATACATTTTTGAACAGAAAGTATCTCCTGCTGAGCAGGACACTGTGGACAGGATCGGGGATTAACGGATTACAAGTAAAGGATAACTGTGTGACATTGCAGTTACAGAAGAAGAAGACGTAATCAGACTACACAGTCATATAGTACAAATATGGATAACAGGATTACAATTTTAAAATGCGTTTAAAATAAGGAATGATATACTATGCAGCTTCATGACACAAGTCAGGTCACACCGAAGCGGAAGCTGTCAGTTGGACGTGGACAGTGTAGTGTTTTATATGTGAAGCAGAAACAGCATTAAAGTGCAGTGCAAGGTATTACAAAGCAGGATGGTTTCACTTCATCAAGATTATTCTGTCTGTTTGTAGGAAATGAGCTTCAAATTTCTGCTCCAACAAACGGAACACAGGAGAAATCTTTGTAGGGCTGTGCCTAAAAGTGCGAAGCTTCGAAGCTTTATTGATGATGTTGAAATTTGAATCATTATTATTAATATCTGACAGGAACATTGCATGCTAAGACCATCTTCTACCTTCTCTTCCCCTCCTCAGACAGCGAGTGTTCTCTGTAATTATCTCAGTCCTCAGTCCAAAAGTCAGACGGATGTAATCATTCCCAAAATTTACAATACGTTTTTGTCTAATGAAATATTCTGCCATATTTGTTGGCATTAAATCTTTCAGTAAAATATTTTCACTGCAGTCAAAAAACAGAAAGGGAGGCCAGCGCTGTATCAACAGGGCAGATGAGCAGCACATTTAATACACAATAAATTACATTTATATCAATCAATTATAAAATCATAACATATTTCCCCCCCATTTCTTTAGGTTGATGTCATCATAAGATATGACGACATTCAAAGCTTCATTCCAAGACCTCAATAGAAGTTTTGAATGTAATGAAATAACATTGGCTACAGCCCTAGAGATGTCCATATGGGTTCATTCAGTTCCACTTCTATGGGTGCTGCTGCTCCAGGGCACAATCCTGCAACACAAATGTGCTCAATGATTTGAGACCTTGGATGATGACATCATATTCACGTCTTAAAGGCTGTATTATTGCTTGCACTGTTGTTCCCCTTTCTTCTTAAATAGCATAGAAAATATGTAAAATCATGGCAAAATCTGGTATTGAAGTAGGAAGGAATTAGATGACATTACCTTTATTCTGTGAAACGTGGATTAGGTTACTGATTACATTTTATAACATGTCATTGTATCAGATTACATTCTTGAATTAAATGTAAGCAACAACAACACACAAAACAAATATACACAAAAAATGTAGAGTATAATTAGTTTTTTTAAACCTGGATAAATAAGTATTATTGATAATAATTATTACTGATGGGAAACTATGATGAATACTTCTGACAATGTAATTTAAGGTTGCCATGGATGATGCAGTAAACTGATCCAGACCATGTACACAGTCGTGTATGTGCACTTTCTTTGTAACTCTTTCTCTTCCACATACAAACGTGCACAGACTTTACACTCAGGAATAGCTTGACTCTGCAGACATTGAGAAGATATTTTAAAGATAGATGGATCAGATTATGAAGTTACAGCCAGACCTCGTACTATGTCTCCAGAGCTCACCTGAGAGTCTGCAGGTCACCTGTCCCGTGTGAGTCTGTAAATGTACATTACGCTTAGTTAGCATGTACATTATATGACAGGCTCCAGGAGTGTATCCATCCATCTTTTTCTTTTCTTTCCTTTCTGACTGGCCTGCATTTGGGACTGGCTTATATTTGTTGGTGGAAGCCTCCAGCCATGATTAGAGACCCGGCCTTTATTTGAGTAAATATGGTAGTTTGATCAAAACGCATTGCAGTTAATGCCCTCTTCAGGCCACTTAGCAGTGCGGAAGAGATGATGGAAGCAGAATTGACCATTCCACTTTGAGAAATACAGAAAGGAAAACTGTAGCAAATGGTTCACAGCAGATTCAACAGGAAAAAAGTACACATCGAAGCAAAAGCTGTTTCTGAATCTCGAGGTGCAGGATATAGCTGAGGCCATTAAATAATAAGATTCAGTGATTGTCATTGTACAGCACATCTGATAATGCAGAGCGTTGGCCGTCTGCCTTCCTGCTCTATGCTCTGCTCTCTGTGCCAGGGCCACAGTAGACTTCAGGTAACCTTCACCTGCATTGATGAAGACCATGTTTGCAAATCCACAAGTGCAACAAAGTCTTTCAGCAAGGCAGACCAGGGCACCAGACTGACTCTCTCTGTTGGTCGCAGCAGCACATGATTTGCTTGCATCCTTTTTTTGATACAGCGTGGTATTAATGCATTGTTATACAGTAAATTAAAACACCCAACAGTATGAAAAAATGAATAGTATTTGCTCTATTGCATAACATTGAAATGCATTTTATATGTTACTTCATCAATATTATTAACCTAATATTAAAATATGTAATCAGGATTCAGGAACAACTAATGAGCCCATTTGGTTGCATAGTGAGTACTTTTACTTTTATACTTTAAGTACATTTTCTTGATTATATATTTACATCATTTTATTTCAATAAGGTTTTTTAAATCATGGTATTAGTACTTGTACTTCAGTAACTTCTTCCACCACTCAATGATCTAGCTCAGTCTGTCCCTCTCTGCACTTCATTATTGAAATGATCAGTGATAGTGATTCATTTATGGAACACGTTAACAGTTAAACGTACTGTTAACATCTGTGCCCCGCTCTGAGCCCTGGGCCAGGATTCAAACTGATCTCACTGGGTCGTAGTGGTTGGATTGGATTCAGTTCTGATTTGATCAAAACATTTTAAAGCAGATATAATGATTGTTTTATCCTGATGATTTGGATTCAGATTTGGTAAACCAATCCTCCATTAATGCACCAACAAGGCCAAATCATCAAGTACAGAAATATCTACCTTGATTGATAATTGATAATACATCTCACCAATAACGCTGGCATATTTTGCAATGGTGTCAGTGATCATTGTGCAATTTCTTGAATCAAGAATACAAAAATGTCCGAGGCAAAACCTTGTTTAATTTTTCAAAAATATTTTGTATATTTTTGTACTACAGTAATTTTAGCAGAGTTACTTTGATACTGGATGTTGAGTTGGCATAGAATGAACTCCATTGTTCTGTCTATCTCTAATAAACATTTTCCATCAAGAAGTTTAGGATCAGACAATCCATGGTACTCATTTAAGAAATAAGAACCCCTCTGGTAATTGGACCACCTTTAGAACCCTTAATGATGAGAAATTCCATATTTTATATTTAAAGTCAGTTACGGATAACCTAAATAACCCCGTGATAAAATTCTGAAAATTGATAAAATCCTTGTCAGGTACACATTTTGCTTCGATCCTCCCTGAAGGTGGACCAGCGCTATTGATTGATATTTTTCTCAGGAAGTGGTGGTGGAGGCCTAAACAGAGCTTAAAGAGGAGTGCATATTGGATTTTCATCAGGGGGACAAGCTGGGCCACGCAGTGTTTTCTAGAAACTCAAGAAAGTGTGTGGAGCCTTGCAACTCTGCCAAGCTGCTGAATCAAGTAGTCAATTGAACCATTATGTTACATTAGAACATTCTAAATTAAGAATAGAAACAGACATTCATTGTTCCACTCTTTCTTGATTACAGAGAATAAATAGACTTTAATCACATAGAAAGAGACTCACTCCACATGAATATATAATGTTGATATGGTGTAACGAAAGTTACAAATGTAACTATGGTTCTATGACCACCAGAGGCAGTGCTTCACACTGGATATCTTCCGTCTCGCGCATGCGCAGGTCGAATATTTATACCAACAAAGTCACCTGTGACCTCGGATGACACCCGTCGTCTATAAGTTCCGGTGTCATCCTGAGTTCAGTCCTATGGAATCTTCTCGCGAGTTCACGGGATTCCGAGTGACCAAGAACTCTGGCGGTCATCCAGGATTCATAGAACCGTAGTTACATTCGTAACTTTCGTTCTATTTCATCCTTACTGACCGCCAGAGGCAGTGCTTCACACTGGATGACTTATACCAAAAGAGTCACGAGGAAGCACAGTAACTACCTCGTATAGCTCCGGCAGAGAAAATTGGCCAAAGAACCCTCCCCAGTGGGTGAGGGGTGGCAACATTAACTCTGTAGTGTTTGGTGAATGCGCTTGGTGATGCCCATGAGGCCGTAGCACATATATCCTCCACAGGCACACCTCTCAGGGCTGCCCTTGGCGTGG